CCCACGAAATTCCCACCTGTGCTCCGGGCTGCTCCCGGGTTTTCCCGGAATTCCCGTTTTTTTCCCGGAATTCCCATTTTTTCCCGGAATTCCCGTTTTTTTCCCAGAATTCCCATTTTTCCCCCCAAATCCCACAGAATTCCCACCTGTGCTCCGGGCTGTTCCCATTTTTTCCCGTAATTCCCATTTTTTCCCGGAATTCCCATTTTTCCCCCAAAAAATCCCGTGGAATTCCCACCTGTGCTCCGGGCTGTTCCCATTTTTTCCCCAAAATCCCACAGAATTCCCAGAAATTCCAGCGCTGCCCCACCCCAGGAAGGATCCGGAATATCGGGATCATCCCATGGGAATGGGGTGGGAATTCAGGTGGTTTTTTCCCGGAATTCCCTTTTTTTTTCCCAGAATTCCCATTTTTCCCCCCAAAAATTCTATGGAATTCCCACCTGTGCTCCGGGCTGTTCCCGGTTTTTCACAGAATTCCCATTTTTTTCCCCCCAAATCCCGCGGAATTCCCACCTGTGCCCCGGGCTGTTCCCGGTTTTTCCCGGAATTCCCGTTTTTTTCCCGGAATTCCCGTTTTTTTCCCAGAATTCCCATTTTTCCCCCCAAATCCCGTGGAATTCCCACCTGGGCTCCGGGCTGTTCCCATTTTTTCCCGGAATTCCCGTTTTTTTCCCGGAATTCCCGTTTTTTTCCCGGAATTCCCGTTTTTTTCATGAGAATTCCCATTTTTCCCCAAATCCCGTGGAATTCCCACCTGGGCTCCGGGCTGTTCCCATTTTTTCCCGGAATTCCCGTTTTTCCCCCCAAAAAATCCCATTTTTTTCCCAGAATTCCCATTTTTGCCCCCAAATCCTGCAGAATTCCCACCTGGGCCCCGGCCTGTTCCCATTTTTTCCCATAAATCCCGTTTTTTCCCAGAATTCCCATTTTTGCCCCCAAATCCCATGGAATTCCCACCTGGGCTCTGGGCTGTTCCCATTTTTTCCCAGAATTCCCGTTTTTTTCCTGGAAATCCCGTTTTTTCCCCAGAATTCCCATTTTTCCCCCCAAATCCCACGAATTCCCACCTGGGCTCCGGGCTGTTCCCATTTTTTCCCGGAATTCCCGTTTTTTTCCCAGAATTCCCATTTTTCCCCCCAAATCCCGTGGGATTCCCACCTGGGCTGTGGGCTGTTCCCATTTTTTCCCAGAATTCCCATTTTTTTCCCCCCAAATCCCACAAAATTCCCACCTGGGCTCCGGGCTGCTCCCGTTTTTTCCCGGAATTCCCGTTTTTTCCCCAGAATTCCCGTTTTTTTCCCGGAATTCCCATTTTTTTTCCCGGAATTCCCATTTTCCCCCCAAAAATCCCGCGGAATTCCCACCTGTGCTCTGGGCTGTTCCCGGTTTTTCACAGAATTCCCGTTTTTTCCCCCCAAATCCCGTGGAATTCCCACCTGTGCCCCAGGCTGTTCCCGGTTTTTCCCGGAATTCCCGTTTTTTTCCTGGAATTCCCCTTTTTTTCCCAGAATTCCCATTTTTCCCCCCAAATCCCACGGAATTCCCACCTGTGCCCCGGGCTGTTCCCGGTTTTTCCCGGAATTCCCGTTTTTTTCCCAGAATTCCCATTTTTGCCCCCAAATCCCGCGGAATTCCCACCTGTGCTCCGGGCTGTTCCCATTTTTTCCCGGAATTCCCATTTTTTCCCCCAAAATCCCACAGAATTCCCAGAAATTCCAGAGCTGCCCCACCCCAGGAAGGATCCAGAATATCGGGATCATCCCATGGGAATGGGGTGGGAATTCAGGTGGTTTTTTCCCGGAATTCCCATTTTTTCCCAAAATTCCCATTTTTCCCCCCAAATCCCGCGGAATTCCCACCTGTGCTCCGGGCTGTCCCCATTTTTTCCCGGAATTCCCATTTTTCCCCCCAAAAAATCCCATGGAATTCCCACCTGTGCTCCGGGCTGTTCCCGGTTTTTCCCAGAATTCCCGTTTTTCCCCCCAAATCCCGCGGAATTCCCACCTGTGCCCCGGGCTGTTCCCATTTTTTCCCGGAATTCCTGATTTTTCCCAGAATACCCATTTTTCCCGAAATCCCGTGAAATTCCCACCTGTGCCCCAGGCTGTTCCCATTTTTTCCCGGAATTCCCATTTTTTCCCAAAATTCCCATTTTTCCCCCCAAATCCCACGGAATTCCCACCTGTGCTACGGGCTGCTCCTGGTTTTTCCCGGAATTCCCAATTTTTCCCCAAAATCCCACAGAATTCCCAGAAATTCCAGAGCTGCCCCACCCGAGGAAGGATCCGGAATATCGGGATCATCCCATGGGAATGGGGTGGGAATTCAGGTGGTTTTTTTCCCGGAATTCCCATTTTTTTCCCGGAATTCCCATTTTTCCCTCCAAATCCCATGGGATTCCCACCTGTGCTCAGGTCTGTTCCCAGTTTTTCCCGGAATTCCCATTTTTCCCCCCAAATCCCACGAAATTCGCACCTGTGCTCCGGGCTGTTCCCGGTTTTTCCCGGAATTCCCATTTTTTTCCCAGAATTCCCATTTCCCCCCCAAATCTGGTGGAATTCCCACCTGGGCTCTGAGCTGTTCCCATTTTTTCCCAGAATTCCCATTTTTCCCCCCAAATTCCGCGGAATTCCCACCTGGGCTCTGGGCCGTTTCCAATTTTTCCCGTAATTCCCTTTTTTTTCCCAAAATTCCCATTTTTCTTCCCAAATCTGGTGGAGTTCCAACCTAGGCTCCAGGCTGTTCCAATTTTTTCCCAGAATTCCCATTTTTTTCCCCCCAAATCCCACGAAATTCCCACCTGTGCTCCAGGCTGTTCCCATTTTTTCCCGGAATTCCCATTTTTTTCCCGGAATTCCCATTTTTTCCTGGAATCCCCATTTTTTTTCCCGGAATTCCCATTTTTTTCCCCAAATCCCATGGAATTCCCACCTGGGCTCCGGGCTGCTCCCGGTTTTTCCTGGAATTCCTGTTTTTTTCCCGGAATTCCCGTTTTTTTCCCGGAATTCCCATTTTTCCCCCAGAATTCCCATTTTTCCCCAAATCCCGTGGGATTCCCACCTGTGCTCCGGGCTGTTCCCATTTTTCCCAGAATTCCCATTTTTCCCCCCAAATCCTGCGGAATTCCCACCTGTGCTCCGGGCTGATCCCATTTTTTCCTGGAATTCCCATTTTTTTCCCAGAATTCCCATTTTTCCCCAAATCCCATGGAATTCCCACCTGGGCTCTGAGCTGTTCCCATTTTTTCCTGGAATTCCCGTTTTTTTCCCGGAATTCCCATTTTTTTTCCCAGAATTCCCATTTTTTTCCCCCCAAATCCCACAGAATTCCCACCTGTGCTCCGGGCTGTTCCCATTTTTTCCCCGGAATTCCCATTTTTTCCCGGAATTCCCATCTTTCCCCCCCAAAAATCCTGTGGAATTCCCACCTGTGCTCCGGGCTGTTCCCATTTTTTTCCCAAAAATCCCACGGAATTCCCAGAAATTCCAGCGCTGCCCCACCCCAGGAAGGACCCGGAATATCGGGATCATCCCATGGGAATGGGGTGGGAATTCAGGTGGTTTTTTCCCGGAATTCCCGTTTTTTTCCCGGAATTCCCATTTTTTTTCCCAGAATTCCAATTTTCCCTCCCAAATCCCGCGGAATTCCCACCTGTGCTCCGGGCTGTTCCCGGTTTTTCACAGAATTCCCATTTTTTCCCCCAAATCCTGCAGAATTCCCACCTGGGCTCCGGGCTGTTCCCATTTTTTCCCGGAATTCCCATTTTTTTCCTGGAATTCCCTTTTTTTTTCCCAAAATTCCCATTTTTCCCCCCAAATCCCACAGAATTCCCACCTGGGCTCCGGGCTGTTCCTGGTTTTTCCTGGAATTCCCGTTTTTTTCCTGGAATTCCCATTTTTTTCCTGGAATTCCCATTTTTCTCCCCCAAATCCCGTTAAATTCCACCTGGGCTCTGGGCTGTTCCCTTTTTTTCCCAGAATTTCCATTTCTCCCCCCAAAATTCCCATGGAATTCCCACCTGTGCTCCGGACGGTTCCCATTTTTTCCCGGAATTCCCGTTTTTTCCTGGAATTCCCATTTTTTTTCCCAAAATTCCCATGGAATTCACACCTGTGCTCCGGGCTGTTCCCGGTTTTTCCCGGAATTCACGTTTTTTTCCTGGAATTCCCATTTTTTTTCCCGGAATTCCCATTTTTCCCCAAATCCTGTGGAATTCCCACCTGGGCTCCGGGCTGTTCCCATTTTTTCCCGGAATTCCCATTTTTTCCCCCAAAATCCCACAGAATTCCCAGAAATTCCAGCGCTGCCCCACCCCAGGAAGGACCCGGAATATTGGGATCATCCCATGGGAATTGAGATGGTTTTTTCCCAGAATTCCCATTTTTCCCCCAAAAAATCCCACGAAATTCCCACCTGGGCTCCGGGCTGTTCCCATTTTTTCCCGGAATTCCCATTTTTTCCCGGAATTCCCATTTTTTTCCCCCCAAATCCCACGAAATTCCCACCTGTGCTCCGGGCTGCTCCCGTTTTTTTCCCGGAAATCCCGTTTTTTTCCTGGAATTCCCATTTTTTTTCCCAGAATTCCCATTTTCCCCCCAAATCCCGCGGAATTCCCACCTGGGCTCCGGGCTGCTCCCGGTTTTTCCCGGAATTCCCGTTTTTTTCCCGGAATTCCCGTTTTTTTTCCCAGAATTCCCGTTTTTTTTCCCGGAATTCCCATTTTCCCCCCCAAATCCTGCAGAATATCCACCTGGGCTCCAAGCTGTTCTCATTTTTTCCCGGAATTCCCGTTTTTTTCCTGGAATTCCCATTTTTTTCCCAGAATTCCCATTTTTTTTCCCAGAATTCCCATTTTTTTCCCCCCAAATCCCATGGAATTCCCACCTGTGCCCCGGGCTGTTCCCGGTTTTTCCCAGAATTCCCGTTTTTTTCCCAGAATTCCAATTTTTTCCCGGAATTCCCATTTTTCCCCCCCAAAAATCCCATGGAATTCCCACCTGGGCTCCGGGCTGTTCCCGGTTTTTCCCGGATTCCGGCGGCGGCAGCGGCAGGACGGAGCCCAGGGCCGTGTCCAGCAGCTCGGAGCGCTCGGAGTCGCTCAGCGCCGGCTCCAGGGCGCTGGAATCCCGGGATAAGGGAAAATCCGGGAATGGCGGCTCCCAGCGGGGGGCAGGGAGGGAAATGTTGGGAATTATTGGGGATTAATGAGGATTATTAGGGATTTATTGGGGATTTATTAGGAATTATTGGGGATTAATGAGGATTATTAGGGATTTATTGGGGATTTATAAGGAATTATTGGGGATTAATGAGGATTATTAGGGATTTATTGGGGATTTATTAGGAATTATTTGGGATTTATGAGGATTATTAGGGATTTATTGGGGATTTATTAGGAATTATTGGGAGTTAATTGGGAATTATTGAGGGATTAATGGGAAATATTGGGAATTATTGTGGATTAATGAGGATTTATTGGGGATTTATTGGGGATTTATTAGGAATTATTGTGGATTAATGAGGATTATTAGGGATTTATTGGGGATTTATTAGGAAATAATGGGAGTTAATGTAAATTATTAGGGATTAATGGGATTATTGGGAGTTAATTGGGAATTAATGGGAATTATTGAGGGATTAATGGGAATTATTGGGGATTATTGGGAGTTATTGGGGATTTATTAGGAATTATTGGGAGTTAATTGGGAATTATTGAGGGATTAATGGGAAATATTGGGAATTATTGTGGATTAATGAGGATTTATTGGGGATTTATTGGGGATTTATTAGGAATTAATGGGAGTTAATGTAAATTATTAGGGATTAATGGGATTATTGGGAGTTAATTGGGAATTAATGGGAATTATTGAGGGATTAATGGGAATTAATGGGAACTATTGAGGGATTAATGGGAATTATTGGGGATTATTGCGAGTTATTGGGTTTTATTGGGAATTACTGGGGAATTATGGGGGATTATTGGGACTTAATTGGGAATTATTGGGAATTATTGGGGATTAATGAGGATTTTCAGGGATTTATTGGGGATTTATCAGGAATTAATGGGAGTTAAAGGGAATTATTAGGGATTAATGGAATTATTAGGAATTAATTGGGAATTAATGGAACTACTGGGGAATTATTGGTGATTAATGGGAATTATTGGGAATTATTGGGGATTTATTGAGGATTTATTGGGAATTAATGAGAATTATTAGGGATTAATGGGAATTATTTGGAGCTGATTGGGATTTAATGGGAATTATTGGGTATTATTGGGAATTATTTGGGATAATTGGGGATTAATGGGAATTATTGAAGATTATTGGGGATTAATTGGAATTAATGGGGTTTATTTGGGATAATTGGGAATTAATGGGAATTATTGAGAATTATTTGGGATTCATTGGGAATTAATGAGAATTACTAGAAATTAATGGGAATTATTGAGAGTTGATTGGGATTTAATGGGAATTATTGGGTATTAATGGAAATTATTTGGGATAATTGGGAATTAAGAGGAATTATTGAAGATTATTGGGGATTAATGGGAATTAGTGGGGTTTATTTGGGATAATTGGGAATTAATGGGAATTATTGAGAATTATTTGGGATTTATTGGGAATTAATGAGAATTATTAGGGATTAATGGGAATCATTGGGAGCTGATTGGGATTTAATGGGAATTATTGGGTATTATTTGGAATTATTTGGGATAATTGGGAATTAATGGGAATTATTGGGGATTTATTGGGGATTAATGGGAATTAATGGGGTTTGTTGGGGATTATTGGAAATTAATGGGAATTATTGAGAATTATTGGGGATTTATTGGGAATTATTTAAAATTAATGGGGATTAATTGGGAATTATTGGGATTTAATGGGCTTTATTAGGGATTAATGGGAATTAGCACTGGGGGTCCAGAATTCCCGGAATTCCCAGAATTCCCAGGATTCCCGGAATTCCCGGAATTCCCGGAATTCTGGCAATTCCCAAGGATCCAACCCCAAATCCCAATTCCCAGAATTCCCAAGGATCCGACCCCGAATCCCGACCGCGGAATTCCCGGAATATTTTTGGAATTCCCGGAATTCTGGCAATTCCCAAGGATCCGAGCCCAAATCCCAGCGCCGGAATTGCCAGGAGGCTCCGGAATTCCGGAATTCCCGAGGATCCGACCCCAAATCCCAATTCCCAGAATTCCCAAGGATCCGACCCCCGAATCCCGATCGCGGAATTCCTGGAATTTTTTGGAATTCCCGGAATTCCGTAATTCCCAAGGATCCAACCCCAAATCCCGATTCCCAGAATTCCCAAAGATCCAACCCCAAATCCCAGCCCCGGAATTGCCAGGAGGCTCCGGAATTCCGGAATTCCCAAGGATCCGACCCCAAATCCCAATTGTGGAATTCCTGGAATTTTTTTTAATTCCTGGAATTTTTTGGAATTCCCGGGATTCTGGCAATTCCCAGGATCCGACCCCAAATCCCGATTCCCAGAATTCCCAAGGATCCGAGCCCCGAATCCCGACCGCGGAATTCCTGGAATTTTTTGGAATTCACGGAATTCCGGAATTCCCAAGGATCCGACCCCAAATCCCAGCGCCGGAATCGCCAGGAGGCTCCGGAATTCCGGAATTCCCAAGGATCCGACCCCGAATCCCGACCGCGGAATTCCCGGAATATTTTTGGAATTCCCGGGATTCTGGCAATTCCCAAGGATCCAACCCCAAACCCCAGCGCCGGAATTGCCGGGAGGCTCCGGAATTCCGGAATTCCCAAGGATCCGACCCCAAATCTCAATTGCGGAATTCCTGGAATTTTTTGGAATTCCTGGAATTTTTTGGAATTCCCGGAATTCTGGCAATTCCCAAGGATCCGACCCCAAATCCCAGCGCCGGAATCGCCAGGAGGCTCCGGAATTCCGGAATTCCCAAGGATCCAACCCCAAATCCCAATTCCCAGAATTCCCAAGGATCCGACCCCAAAATCCGACCGCGGAATTCCCGGAATTCCCGGAATTCCCGAGGATACACCAGGTGGGCGCAGGCGCTCAGGGCGTGCTGCCGCAGCCGCGTCCGCGGCGCCTCCGGAGGCTCCGCCCGCAGGAATTCCTGGGAAAAGGGAAAAAGCGGGAATGGGGACGGAACGTTCCGGAACATCCGGAGGGATTCCCGGATTTTCCAGGAGCCACCCCGGGGTTATCCAAAGGATCCGGGTGGGAATTCCAGGGTGGTTTCCAGGTGGGAAATTCCCGGATTTCCTCAATTCCTGGATTTTCTCAATTCCTGGATTCCCTCAATTCCTGGATTTCCTCAATTCCTGGATTCCCAAATTCCCGAATTCCCTTTAATCTTTGAATTCCTGGATTTCTAAATTCCGGAATTTCTCCATTTTCCTGGATTCTCGAATTCCTGGATTTCCTCAATTCCCAGATTTCCTCAATTCCTGGATTCTCGAATTCCTGGATTTCCTCAATTCCCGGATTTCCTCAATTCCTGGATTTCCTCAATTCCTGGATTTCCTCAATTTCTGAATTCCCTGAATTCTCGAATTCCTGAATTTCCTGGATTCCCTGGATTCCTGAATTCCCGAATTCCTTTAATCTTTGAATTCCTGGATTTCTAAATTCCCAAATTTCTCATTTTCCTGGATTCTCGAATTCCTGGATTTTCCCAATTCCTGGATTTTCCCAATTCCTGGATTTTCCCAATTCCTGGATTTTCCCAATTCCTGGATTTCCTCAATTCCCGGATTTCCTCAATTCCCGGATTCCCTGAATTCTCAAATTCTTAAATTTCCTGGATTTCCTGAATTTCCTGGATTCCCAAATTCCTGAATTTCCTGGATTCCCGAATTCCCGAATTCCCTTTAACCTCTGAATTCCCGGATTTCTAAATTCCGGAATTTCTCATTTTCCGGGATTCTCGAATTCCTGGATTTCGTCAATTCCTGGATTCCCTGAATTCTCAAATTCCTAAATTTCCTGGATTTCCTGAATTTCCTGGATTCCCGAATTCCTGAATTCCCCTTAACCTTTGAATTCCTGGATTTCTAAATTCCCGAATTTCTCATTTTCCTGGATTCTCGAATTCCTGAATTCCCCTTAATGGCTGAATTCCGAAATTTCCTGAATTCCTGAATTTTTGAATCCCTGAAATCCTGAATTCCAGATTCCGGAATTCCCGCATCCCATTCCCATGGTCATTCCCAGTATATCCCAGTATATCCCAGTATCCATCCCAGTATATCCCAGTATATCCCAGTATCCATCCCAGTATATCCCATTATCCATCCCAGTATATCCCATTATCCATCCCAGTATATCCCAATATCCATCCCAGTATATCCCATTATCCATCCCAGTATATCCCATTATCCATCCCAGTATATCCCAATATCCATCCCAGTATATCCCAGTATCCCATCCCAGTATATCCCATTATCCATCCCAGTATATCCCATTATCCATCCCAGTATATCCCAGTATCCCATCCCAGTATATCCCAGTATCCCATCCCAGTATATCCCAGTATCCATCCCAGTATATCCCATCCCAGTATATCCCATTATCCATCCCAGTATATCCCAGTATATCCCAGTATCCATCCCAGTATATCCCATTACCCATCCCAGTATATCCCATTATCCATCCCAGTATATCCCATTATCCATCCCAGTATATCCCATTATCCATCCCAGTATATCCCATTATCCATCCCAGTATATCCCATTATCCATCCCAGTATATCCCATTATCCATCCCAGTATATCCCAGTATCCCATCCCAGTATATCCCATTATCCATCCCAGTATATCCCATTATCCATCCCAGTATATCCCATTATCCATCCCAGTATATCCCATTATCCATCCCAGTATATCCCATTATCCATCCCAGTATATCCCAGTATATCCCAGTATATCCCAGTATCCATCCCAGTATATCCCATTATCCATCCCAGTATATCCCAGTATCCATCCCAGTATATCCC